TTTCAAAGCCATAGAGCCAGCGTTTGTCCATAGACAGTTTCCATGGTCACGTGGCCAGTGCAACTAGACACGGAACGCCGTGACCTTCCCACCAAGGTGATACCTATTTATCAACTCCCATTTTTACATGCTTTCGAACGGCTAGGTTGGCAGGAGCTGGGATGAGCAACAGGCACTCACTCCGTTGCGTGGATTCAATCTTACAACGGCTGGTCTTCTGACCTTGCAGCACAGAGGCTTCTGTGGTTTAACCTGCAGTGCCACCTCGTCCCCTACTTCTCCTTACCCACAGTTTAAACTCTTCATTTTTTCAGAGGTGGAAATGACTACATTTTCCCCATCGTGCAATAAAAGGAAGGTGATTCTTGTGAAGTCACCAAGTCCCTTACATGTAACAAGACGGCTACTCACCTAGCAGAAGCCTGATCAGGCAGATTTAGGAACATTTTCCAGACTTCAGTAAATTCTCACCATGTTCCTTATATCGGAAAACCTCACAACTTCCGATTTTGTTGTACCAGGAAAGCTACAGCTAACAGTATGGCAGATGCAATATGTGCCTCTTTAGTTCGAAAAACACACGTGCTGGGAATGAACCTTGCTGAAACTTTAAAATGGGGTGGAGAATCCTGAGAAGTCTATGGGTCTCATACGCCTATCCCTACATCATGGAAAACTGCAACTCTCATCTGCAAAAAAAATTTTTTTTACACAAATAGAGCTTTTAACAGAAAAATGCTCCCTTGCACCCTCTAGTGGCCAAAAAAGCAATTTAAAAAATTGGTGTTAAAGGTGCTTGGAGACCCTGTAATGAATCCCCATACCTCCTAGAGAGCAGAAGGGGACTTCCCAATCCCCTTTTTCCAAAATCTCCAGCACGTTTTAGTGAGTGTGGAAGTGCCAGAGGGTCACCTTTAAGACCGTAAGGGGGCTACAAGTTGCCCGCCAGAGAGCAGCTCCTGGACAAAGCAAAGTACGTTTCTACATCTTTAGGTAAGGAAGACAAACAGTCAATCTGAATCTAGCAACTTGCCAAGGCCAGCGCCAAAAAAGGAAACCCTTAGGAATGGCTTCCCAAGGCAGAATCCGTTTTAAAGACAAGATCGCTGCAAAGCCGTCATGTGATACAGCCCAATAAAATCCTGTTCCAAAATCTGCACTGAGGAAATGCAGTTTACAGCCAAAGAGGTGCCCTGTCTTTATCAAACGCTCCTGTAATAACAGACTCCAAAACAAAAAAAAGGCAAGATGTAACCCTTAGGTGTAAATTCACCCAACTTGTCCTGACAATAGTTGATGTTTTGCCCACTTTGAGGCATCTGGTTGCCAAAGTAACAGCAACACAACCTTGTTTTTTTTGCAAAAGAGCAAAAAATGGGACAGCTAAGACTTATTTTTACACACAGGAGCTAAACATGCCAGACCAGTTGATTTGTGGGCCCATAAGCTTGATCTTATTTAAGGCATAGTTAGAAAGCTGCTGGGTTTTGTATTTGCAAAGGATTCCTCTATTTATTTCCTTAAATAGTCCCTGTTTTGTTACCCAAGATACAGCCCCTCAGCTGAGCTTGGGAAAGTGAATTTCTCTGCCATAAAATGAACCAAATTCTTTAGGCCAGGGGATTCTGGGAGATATTTGAAAAAGCATCTTTTCCCCAGATGTAACTCTAAAGAACCTAACTAATTTCAAAGGCCTTTCCTCGTTGCTGCCCAAAAGCTGTGGAAAAGGGTTAGTGCACAACCAGCTCTCTTAATTTTTTGAAAAAAAAAACACTTGAGATATAACCTGAAAGCAAAGTATTATGAGATATGGCGCTGATAAACATGTACTGTTATCCTTTGAATTTAGATTTAAGATCCATGTTGACAATTTGCAGGTGTTTGGCATTGAAGTAAATCTCTACCTCCAGTGTGGTGTAGCAGATAGAGTGACAGACTGGGACTCTGGAGACCAGGGTTCGAATTCCATGAAAACTCCCTGGGGGAGGGGGAGTGGTAAAGCCACTTCTTAAGTATCTCACTTATCTTGAAAGCCCTATTAGAGTTGCTATAAGTCAGTTCTCTTGAGAGTCCCCTGGACCATAAACCTATCCATTTTGAAGGAAATCAACCTTGAGTGCTCACTGGAAGGACAGATCCTGGAAGCTGAGGCTCCAATACTCACGAGAAGAGAAGACTCCCTGGAAAAGACCCTGATGTTGGGAAAGTGTGAAGGCAAGAGGAGAAGGGGACGACAGAGGACAAGATGGATGGACAGGGTCACCGAAATGACCAAGATGACTTTGACCAAACTCAGGGAGGCAGTGGAAGATAGGAGGGCCTGGCGTGCTCTGGTCCATGGGGTCACGAAGAGTCCGACATGACTTAAGGACTAAACAACAACAACAAAACAAGTCAGTTCTGACTTGAGGGTGCAGAGCACACACCACTGCAGCTTATGATAAGCAGGGCCCCAAATTCTCAGGAATTATGGATGATCCTGGCTCCAAAATGGATAACACTCCTCCCAGGATGACACTTATCCCCTTTCCACAACTTGCAAAGATATTTAGTGTATGCTAAAAATTTGTCACTGACCCAGATTATTGTGCCGGATGTTAGAAACTATGAAAACAACCTGAACGAGCATTTCACCTGATGATTCTCATGGGGGTATCCACCTTTGCAAATGGTGTACTTCTCAACTACAGCTGCCAGAATCCCACAGCCATAGTCGCTACTGGCTAGGATTGACTTTCTGGGAGCTTTCGTCCAAAAAAGGACTCAATGCAGAAAAAAAAAATTGCACGGAGGACCAGCTGTTGGATAAAACAGTGCCAGATCTATTTTGTGCCTACCTGGTGCTCTTCATTGCTGTAGCATGGGGGTGGTTCAACACACCACTGGATCTCCTTCTGCTTATACTTCTTCATGATCAAGCTGTCCACCACCCAGAACATCACTGCCTTAAAAGGAAAATGGAGATTGAGGAAAGAGGTGAAGACCGATGGACGTATTCTTTGCGAGTTACTTCTAAGGAAAGAAATTTGAGATTCTCAGCAGAAAGGTCTAGTCGGTTTTGATCACACATCACACTAATCAGACCATGCGAAGCATTTCAGAGGCTCAAAAGAATTTCCTTTGACTTCAAAAAAAGAGTGGATTCCAAGCTATCTCAAGGTCAGTTTGTCTCCCTTTATGGTCCTTGCCCAAGCTTTACAATCATCCGGGGAGGCCTTTCTCCCAGTTCCACCACCCTCACAGGGGCACTTGGTAGAGACATGGGAAAGAGCCTTCTCTGTGGCTGCTCTGAGACTGTGGAACTCCCTCCCACTGGAAGTCAGGCTGGCCCTATCTTTGCTCTCCTTCGGCAAGCAGGCCAAGACCTTTCTCTTCAGGTTGGCTTTCCTTGAGTGACCAGCTGTCGGATAGGGTTTTTTTAAACAAATGGTTGTACCTTACTGCTTTCAATGTGTTTGGGTGTTGCTAATATTTATTATCATGACATTTGTCTGATCTTTATAAAGTTTTTGTACACTTGTTGCTGCTCATCATAGGTGATGAAAGCCAATTTAACATTATCTCCCATGGATGTAGTACAGCCATGCTACTCAAATCAACCATCCATATAGCGTGGCAGTATACCTTTGGGCACCATTTGCTGAAGGACAGCTGCAGTTGGACCTTCCCACAAGCAGCGGGCGGGCCCTGGAGAAAAACAAGAGACTTGGACAAGACAGACTTTTGATGAAATCCCACAGGCATTTTCTTAACTTTCTTAAGGGCCAGCGTGGTGTTGTGATGAGAGCAAGAACAGAGGGCGTGTGGCCCTCCATCTGGTGACAATAAAAATTCCACACCCTTCCAAAATCTCCCTTCCTGATGGCTTCTAATTGTTATACCCACAGAGTCTAGATAATTGTTTGAGCAGCTAATTAAAAGGGTCCCTATCAAAGTGATCTGCTCCTCTCCTATTCAATTTGTCACTGGATGGAACAACCTGAGGCACAGATTTCCTGTTATTTCTCAAGCTGAAAAACATCCAGTCCAATAATGACTAATATTTTTACCCTGCCAGATGCTTTGAACATTACTACTAGATGCATTTTGCATCTTTTCCATTTGTTGCGATACAATGGAGGGGGGTTACTCATTGGTTAGCAGGTTGGAGAAAGTTGGCTTATAGGTCCACAAATGATTTTGTTTGGCTGCTTCTGGCATCTATGGATGTCTGGGTAGCCTCCCCTCCCTCCAGCCCCCCGAGACTCAGGGCAGAAAAGAAGGAGAGGGTTGCCTCTCTTCCTCTGGAAATCTTATACACCCATATTCCATCACCATATCAAATATCCATACAGGGAGTTTCGATATCACATAGCAGAGGTGAAATTCCTAGGAGAGCCTTCAAGATCCCAGGCATTAAAAGCTTGTTTTCTTCCAACTTTTTTTTCAAACTCACGTTGACAATAAACGGTACCACGAGCATCACCAGCACAAGTTCCAACTGAGGGTCAGGGATATAACCCAGAAGAATTTCCTGAAGCTGAAAGGAAAACAAAAACAAAACACCTCTTTTACAGAAAGAAAATGAGTTTGAGTTTATAAAATCAATTGGCTGGCCAACAAATGAATAAAGATGAAGAAATTATAAAATCATAGAATAGAATCATAGAATAATTCAGTTGGAAGGGGCCTATAAGGCCATCAAGTCAAACTCCCTGCTCAGTACAAGAAAACAAATCAAAGGATATCTGCCAGGTGGTTGTCTGAATTTCTCTTGAAGGCCTCCAGCGTTGGACCGACCACTCACCACCTCCCAAGGTCGTGAGTCCCATTGTCCTACTGCTCTAACAGTTAAGAAGTTTTTCCTGTGTGGGTTCCACTGTCATACTGCTCTAACAGTTAAGAAGTTTTTCCTGATATTCAACCGAAATCCGGCTTCCTGTACCTTGAGCCCATTATTATGTGTCCTGCTCTTGGGATGATGGAGAACAGATCTTGCCCCCTCCTCTGCATGACAGCCTTTCAAGTATTAGAGAAGCACTATTATATCTTTCCCTTGGACTTCTTTTCTCATGGCTAACCATGCCCAATTCTTTCAGTCTTTCCTCATGGGTTTCCAGGCCCCGATCATCCTCGTTGCCCTCCTCTGAACTTGCTACAGCTTGTTGGCCTCCTTCTTTAAGTGTGATGTCCACAACTGGACTCAGTACTGCAGATGAGGCCTAACTAGTTCTGAATAGAGGAGGACTATTCATTCATTCATTCATTCATTCATTCATTCATTCATTCAACTTCTATACCACCCATCTAGCTATCAACAATGTTCTGGGTGGTTCACAAAACAGTGGAATAACAGACAACACTTCAAAAAGAATTGAACATAGTAACTATATGAAAAACCAAATTAGATCTACCAAGCTAGATACACAAAAACATAGAATAACTAAAAGTAATTTAAAAGATAAGGTGGCAGAACAGATGATATAAGCGCTGAAAAACCTCTGCACCATCATGATGTAAACTCTGGGAAAGCCTGTCATGTTTTCAGGTTTGAAAATTTGCAGTGAAGGGGACAAGCAAATTTTAAGTGGAAGATTATTC